AGAAAATGGTAGAGAACTTATATTCTATAGATAGCCATGAAGGCAAGGGGAGCAACTGAGAACTGTTAAAAAAGCAACTCTAGCTGTCTTCTGAGAAAGGGCAATATGAAATACTCAACTCATGCTTATTTTTTAAACTAAGAGTAGAGAACCCAAAGCCAATTACAACAAACACTAAGAAGAAAAATAGCTAACATTATCAAGAGCTTACTAGGTGGCAGGCAATGTGCTCAGAGCTGTATGTTGATCCCTCATTTAATCCTCACAGCAGTGTTGTGAGGTAGGTATTAGAATTATCATGATTTTACAGTTGAGGAAACAAGGAGAGAAAGGAGGAATGGGAATTACATGACTATCAATGTTTGTAGTCATTCAATCCCTCTTCTACTTAACTTTTCAGAGCCTTGGTTCTGCTTAGAGCCCAAAGCTTCTTAAGGAGAACTAAAATTTTAGGCTGAAGCAGCCAGAACACAATAGTCTAAGCAGGACTATGTATAATTCTGGAGGCAGAAGGCATACCATTCAGGCAGACATTAAGAGAGTGGAAAACGCTTCAGGAAGCAGAAAAGTCCAATCTGTTCTTTCTATATGAAACAGTGGCCCAGGCCTCAGAAGTGCTAACATTCTCTCCAGAACTCATCTAGGCTGACGTCTGGCTCTCCCCGCTGCTTCCCTTCCCTCTACGCACTGCTACGACGTTACCCACAGTCAACCCCTTCTCCCCACTTCTCCCAAATCCTGTGGTATTTAATAGCTGAATAAGCACAAACTACAATGGTACCCTCGTTCCTAACTTGCCCTAAGTGGCTCTCCTCTGTGTGTCTCGAAAATGAAATACTTTATCATGCCACATTCAAGCTGGACACTTAGAAATGCTGCTGTTTGCCAAAGCAAGAACATTAAGTCACATCATAGCAGGGCCCAAAAAATTTGAGACATGGCCAACAAACATTTCAAGACTCAAAGTCGCCCAAAAAAATCACACGCCAGAACCTTCTGATATAACATACATGTCAAAATTAACCCTACTGGCCAGCCCTCCCCTACCCTTGCTGCTCTCCTAGGCCTAGAAACTTGGTGTCTGGAAGTCACCAGAAAACACGCAGTTAAAAAGACAACGACTCTGTAATTAATCCACGCCAAAGGAGATACACAGGCATGCATGTGCTTTTCCAGAGGAACAAGAAACTTAAGAGGCATCTTTTACATTAGTGATTTCGCATTCCCTTCCCAACACAGGAGAGCTGTGCTGTGAACTGTTTCTGAAACAGAATACATTAAGCTCCAAGGCTGTGCCCTGGACACAGAGCCCAAGCTGCCCCAATAAAAAAAAGTCATGTGTGGTGTACCTCAGACCCATCTGCATTGAAGTGGTCCAGCGCCTGTTTTCGGATTTCTCCCTTGATGGAACCATCCAGACGCTGTAAAAATAAACCACAAGGTAGGAAGATCAAAAATAAATCACAGGGTAGGAAGACCAGCCACACTCAGAATAGAACACCAGACCTGCAACCTTTATCAGTCCAACACGCACTGGGTAAAAATAGCAGAAATGCACGGGCTATAGGCTGCCAAGGGGCTGTGCTTAAGCAGCACACACTGCTTGCCCCAAGCTCTCCGGTTACAGACTCAAGGTCAGGAGCTCCTGATTCAAAGGGCTACCTGGGTTTATGCAGGGATCAGCATGGTGGCCAGGGCCTGTGAGAACAAAAAGGCAAGCCAAGCTGTGCTTAGAGAGTTTTTGTGCTTCCATATCTGTGGGGACTGAAGAAATGAGGAAATACTCCCCTGGTCACATCATAATTAGCTCCTGCAGAAAAATGATGCTTCTTAGCTAATGGGGCTGAACATTGGGCCGGTGATTAAGTGCCACACAAACCAAAAAATTACTTTCATCATTTTGTTTGGAAAACATTTTGCCATAACAATGAAAATGTTAAAATTAAGTTGATCATATATCCCCATTTTTTTATCTTTTCTATCAACTGCACTCTAAAATTCGACCAAAGTGTTCAAGTAACCAAAATGCATCTTCCAGGGAGCCTCTGGCAGTTACTAGTATATACAACTCTTTTATTAGAGTGCATGTCCATTCTAGGTCAAAGAAAAAGGTCACTATAGAGAAATTATGTATGTAAAATAAACAGTGAAGATTACCCAAATGCTGTACATACAAAGCCT